CACGGATTAGATTGGAGTTGTAGTGATCAAATGCCCTTTTTCTGTTCACTAGCAGTCTGTGTAATTTGGTGACTTGCTCTGTGTCCTGTAGTTCAAGTAAAGGTTTATGGTGCTCGTTACAACACACAGGGCGTAATGTCACTTGGAGAATTATTCCAGGAAATTGGAGTATGGGGACATTTCTCAGCTTAGTTTGAACAAGTGCCTGTGACTTCAGTGTGGTTCGCATAAGCAGCTTATCCTGGTGGAAGGAATACAACTCGATCATTGTTTTAAAAGGATTATTAAATGACATATTGTTCAAGTACAAGTTTCACATGGGGGTAGTTGGTTTTCTTGGGCAAGACACATCAAATCCTTGTCTGAATTTATTGGAAAAATAAATTATCTTTTTACAGGGTTACATGGAGTTACATTAACTGTCCTTTGTGAACAATTTAAGACTTACCTGCATTTGAACAAATGAGCAAATAGCAGAACAGTAAAATATTTTTTTGTGTGTGTCAGAAGGCAGTCTAGTTGTGCTGTCCTGATAGCATGATTTGGGGGACTAATGAAGAACCAAAGAGATTTCATGCATTCCAGTGGTGTATCTGTGGTTGTCCGTGGTGGGTCATGGTCCAGTATACTAATTACCCTCCTTTTCTTTGCCACTCTTCCCCTTCTCTTCTTTGCCACTCTGTTCTCCAGTCGCATCTATTTTCAAGGAGTTTAGCTACTGACTCTTTGGCATGCTCCATTCATTGCTTCAGTTTTGTTTTTAGTGCTGCAGTCCTTTGAATTTTGGCACTCTTGTGTTTTATCCAAGACCTTGTTACTTGTGTTGATTTTTCTAGGCCCTCTGCCTTTTCTGTCTGCAAACTGCAACTTGAGTTTTTTGTGCACTTGCTGCAGAGGCTGTCCTTCAGTTTGACCTCCACAAAATCAGCATTTCAGAAGTCATGTTTTGGATGTACTCATGGTAGATGCATAAATGCATCCTCTGCATATTCGTTGTTAGGCATGGGGTCCATTGTCACTTTTAGTTTTGTTGAAAAGCCTCTCTATTCTTCAGAGCCAAAACCCAGGAACTTTGCTGCAGAAAGCTCTTCTCTTTTAGGAGAAACTAATGGAGGTTACTGATATGGAGATGGTGACCCAAGAATCATCTTAGATTAAAATTGAAGCTTGCTTGACTAATCGTTGTGGCAGTTGCAGTGCCAAATGATGGTTGAGAGTTCCCATTTCTGAAGAAAAGGTTGCGACTCTGATCTTTTTAAGGGTGCTGCTGCTGTAGTACTTTTCAGAATTGTCTTTCTCTAAGATGAAACCAATGGGTGGTGTATATTTGCCATTAAACTTAATGATTAAAGGGCATTTTATCTGATTTTGACTTTAAGAGGTATAGGAAGAATGTCTGTCTCCTTTAGTACATATGTGAATTGTTCAAGCATTCTGAAAGTTGTGGCTTCCAGAGTGGAGGGCTGGTTCCATCTCCCAGTATGAGACTGCAGTTTTCTAACATGACTGCAGAAATCTGTGGATGGGTTGAGAAGGGGAAGGGGAGTAAAATTATTTGAAGAATAAGGGTCATAAGATGAAGATTCCCGTTTAGGAAGGTGACTAAAGAAATGTAAGAGGGCTAAGTTAAGCCATATTCATATTACACACCATGCATGCAGACTGTTCTGGGTCTGACTTCTCTCTTTAGTGTTATTACATAACAAAAGTCATGCTGTAACTTGGGCGTTTGCACTGCTATAGGTTAATCTGATTTGCATACAGGGTTATATGCTTAACTAAAGGTGTCACTCCAACTTAATCAGGATCGTGCACAAACCACCTCATGAAAGTATGAAGAACATACTAGTGATCTAGGTGGATGCTGGTGTGTGAAAGATCTTCCATAGATATGGACTCAAAATCAGGCCCAAAAGGTATTTTTAGTAGGAAGGAGACAGGGCTTTCTTATGTCAGCCTTTTTGTGTGTGTGTGTCATCTCTCCCCTTTCTTTTAAAACTAAGATTTTAATTTTTTTTTTATAACCAAGACTTTTAAAATTATTTGGGTTTTAGCCACATGTAACAGTGTGGGGGGAGAAGTAACAGGTAGCCTCTGCTTCATAAGAATTCACAGATTGGTCATATTAAACTAATGTTTTTTCTGAACAAGAATTGAAATTGTGGAAAAACTAAAGACTTGGCATATTCATCCTATCCACAAGTAAGCTATGCTTTCCCTTCAGATGCAATGAGGATTTTGAAAACCTGGCCTGTTCTTCTACAGGGGTAGACTGGCGTTCTGGTGGAAGTACAATTAGCTAAAGTGTTGCAAGGAAAGCCACTGCCGTCTGTTACTGCAGTTTTCAGAAGGTGACTACTTTATGCTATGGGCTGTGAATAATTTCCCAAGTAGAAGTTGTGTGACCACATTGTGGTTATCCTTCTGTCTGGTTGTATTTGTGTCTACGGTGGGTAGCTCGCACCCTTGAAGAGTCATGTGTCAACATCTCACCTACAAGGCTTAATTTAGAATAGCAACAGCTTTCAGTTTACCTTCTGGGGAGGGATAAGGCAATTTGATTTTAAATGGGGAGTGGATTTGTTAATTTTTGAAGTGTGCTAGCAGTTCTGTGTGAGTTGCTAGAACTGCATATGACCTGCCTGTGTGTATTTTTAATCGTAGTTTACGCGATAAACTACTGAGAGGGAAGAACAGCTTACAATGCACAACTCTGAATATTATATACCTAGTAATGTGAGAGATTAGAAGGAAAACAGTCTTTTTTAGTCCAAATTTGACGGTTCTTGTGGTCAGTTTAAGTGTATCCTGTTCTTAATGCTTTTCTGTTTTGGTTTGGTTTTGAACACAGTAATAACTTAAAATACTTGACAAAAATGTGGCATTTGCCAGCACAGTTTCTGCTTTTTGAGCTCCTAATTAAAGTTAAATAATTGAGTATCTGCATTCTGTTTTATGCTCTCTTCAACAATAAGAAAGTTAGGTGTTAGTTTAAACTCTGCTGCTATTGTGGAATGAATAAAAAGTCTGATATTCTGCAGAATAGTTCCCCATTTGATTTATGGCAATGTTCTGTAATTATTTTGATCACACTGACTTCACTGGAGCTGCATGTGAAGATAAAAAAGTCTAAGTAGTATTTTTTTCCTAGCAACTGCAGTAATGTGAACCTCATGCATGTGCTTGGGATACAAGACCACTGTAGGGTATGTTTTGTTGGCTAGTTACAGTTTGCGTGGGCATCAATATTTTGTGTTCTCTTGAGAAGAGATGAAACTTAAGAGCAGGGGGTGAGGTGAGAGGAAGCAGAGGTGTACTGCTGCTGACATCCATCCCTCTCCATACAGCTGAAGCATGTGAGGCTTTTGGTTTTGTTAACAAAGCATGTGAGCCATAGAGTGTATATCCAGTCCCTGTGCCTCACATGTGAATCACTGTTGTGGTGAGATCAAATATAAACATTTCTTGACTGTTTATTCTAATGCATACAAATGTTTTAGAAGGGTTGATAGTGGCTGGGCGAGATGATGTGAAAAGCTTAGAGGGATATATAGTGTCATTTATAGCTGGAGCTGGATTGTAATAAAAGTGTGGTATCAAAAAGTGATGTTATCACTCAGAAAACTGTTCAGATGTATTCCACATAAAAATTAAGGCCTTCTAAACCCCCTAGTGTATTAACTTTTCAGCTAGCACCAGTGCTTAGTTGGGGCCTCGGTTAAAAATCTGTTTCAGAGTCTCTTCTCTGTTAATTTTTGTCCACTGTCTTCAAACAAAAAATATTGTGGTCTTGTTCCATTACCTTGTATTGTATAACAGTGATTTGCACACTCTTTGATGCTTCCCAGGGCAGAATTTGCAATTATGTAAAACATGTGACCTATTTTGTATGATATTTTTTTTAATAATGAATGCACGAATAAACTGATTTGGATTAGAAGGATGGGTTGGATGGCTAGGGTGTGAAAGTCATGAAGATAAACCAGTCAGTTTACGCCGCCTTCAAATGTAAGTCTTATTCACTTAAGCATGAGTATTTGCTGCATCACGTCCCAGTGATGGGAGGTGGAGGAGGATAGGGTATGCAGTGTATTCGTCTGGCTTGAATAAAGCAGCATGAATTTATAATACGTGTGATTTCATTTCCAAACAGATTTCCGTGAACTTGTCAGGGGCAGTTGTCTTTCAGCGACGCATGAATGCATTAAAGTTTTAGGTAAATCTGCAGCACAGACATCTGAGAAGCTTGCCGTGTAATTTAACTGAAAATCTAAGGATGAGCTTTCACAAGATGGCTGAGCCAAACTAATGGCTTGCTGCTGCCTACGGGGACAGCTGCTCTGTTCCTTCTGAGTCCTGCCCCTAGTTATCCGGTGCTGCCTCTTCCTTTATGCAGACTTTGGCATCATCTTGATCATTCAGATCACTTTATCTGTTTAAAAAACAAAACAAAAAAACACCAACCAAACAAAACCCCCTGAACTTCCTCTCCCAAAAGAAAATCTATCAGTTTGCTTTCATTTCCCCGTCACCATTGGAAAAGCAGAGCACGAGCAGGACTTTGTGGCCAGCAGTTGGGATCTAGGGAATGCCACTGTCTAGGGAACATTGAACTCTTTCATTGGCTCAGTAGTCGCAGGGAACACAGCTATTCAGATGTGTACCAGTTAACAAGTCCTCTTTCAAACTAATTTCATACATAGTTATACTAGAGGCTTTTGTCAGAACAATGAACGATAGTGGAATATAAATTCTTCAAGTAAAACAGCTGAAAATACTTAGAAAAATATGAAAGTGCAGTTCAGCTAGTAGCAGTGTCCTTGTTTAGATGAAAGGAATGCAAATTTCACTTTAGAGAGACAGAAAAGTCAGCTTTACATCAGTGGGTTTTTTTCACCTTAACATTATTTGGACTGTTATTTAGTAGTTTCCAATAGGATGTTTAAATGACATGTTTAAGAAATATCTTAATGATAATTTATTTATTTTTTTTAGAACTGAAGGAAAGTCATCATGGGAGCATTTTTAGACAAGCCAAAGATGGAGAAGCATAATGCCCAGGGCCAAGGGAATGGGCTTCGTTATGGTCTGAGCAGTATGCAAGGCTGGCGAGTTGAAATGGAGGATGCACATACAGCTGTGATTGGTTTGCCAAATGGACTCGATGGATGGTCGTTTTTTGCTGTATATGATGGGCACGCTGGATCACAGGTTGCCAAGTACTGCTGTGAGCATTTATTAGATCACATCACGAGCAACCAGGATTTTAAAGGGCCAGATGGGCCACCATCTGTGGAAAGTGTAAAGAGCGGCATCAGAACAGGTTTTTTGCAAATTGATGAACACATGAGAGTCATCTCCGAGAAGAAACATGGCGCAGACAGAAGTGGATCAACAGCTGTGGGTGTCATGATTTCTCCCCAACATACATACTTTATAAACTGTGGAGACTCGAGAGGTTTACTTTGTAGAAACAGGAAGGTTCACTTCTTCACACAGGATCACAAACCAAGTAATCCCCTGGAGAAGGAGCGTATACAGAATGCAGGTGGCTCTGTAATGATTCAGCGTGTGAATGGCTCTCTTGCTGTTTCAAGGGCACTTGGGGACTTTGATTACAAATGTGTCCATGGGAAGGGTCCTACAGAACAGCTAGTCTCACCTGAGCCTGAAGTTTATGAAATTGAGAGATCAGAAGAAGATGATCAGTTCATCATACTGGCTTGCGATGGTATCTGGGATGTTATGGGAAATGAAGAGCTGTGTGACTTTGTAAGATCCAGACTTGAAGTCACTGATGACCTTGAGAAAGTTTGCAATGAGATAGTTGACACCTGCTTGTACAAGGTAGCCAGACTTGAGAAAAGAAGTTTACTGTGTTTTCACTATTAGAAGCTTATGAACAAGTTAAGAATAAGTTTTGATTCCAGTCTATAAGTATCCAATGGTTTCTGTTAACATGCCTTTGACAGTAATTACCATGATTCCCACAAAAATTGTGTTGAGGGGGAACGAACACACAACGGAAACAGTATGACTTTCTGGGTGGTTTTGGTTAACAGGGAGTTTAAAATCATGTACAGGTACACTCTGATCACTGGGAAACTAGAAGCTGATGGGAATTTATGGGCAGGTCGGGGACAATGACTCCCCTTTTCTGTTTCACAACATACTTTACAAAACCTTAACTCTTAAGACTTAATCAGGTTAGAGAGTATTCTTTACCCTCCTAATCTTCCCCTTCTTTCTTGGGCATGTAATAGTAACGTTACTGTCATAATTACGCCAAGATAAATGCAGAATGATTGAACCTTGACTTCATATTTTGTAGTTTAAAATTTCTTGACTATATGAAAATTTGGCTTCCTAAGTTAGTTTTTATTCTGGTTTAATTACTGTTTTTCTTATTCAGTGTTGTGTGATGCAGCTGTAAAACTATCTTAAGTAGAAGATGGGACTGTTTGGTTTAAGAAATCTGTGTAGTTTTGTCTACAACAACAACTTTCACTTTGTATTAATAAGTTGCGGAATGGTGCAGTTACAGAAGAGATTTGAAGTATTGAGTTTCATAGCTAGACACCTAGTTTTCCAAAGGCAAGCTGTAAGTCATAATGTAAAAAAGCCAACATTTTTGATACAAAAGAGACAAGGCAGCAACTCACATGGCTAACAAGGTCATTGTTTCCCTTTTGGAAAAAATAATTGCTTTCCAACACTTTGGCAGATTGATAATGCATATATTTTTGTTTACAATTTTTGTCTGGTAATCCTGAAAAGAAATACCAGGGGAGGAACAGTGGCTTGTGGATGCTGTAAGCTTGGCAATAGCCAGCGGTCAGCACCTCCCTATACACCCATATTCTCTTGTTTTAGACACTGGCTTGTTCTTGATCTTGCTAGCCAGTGGATTTAATTGGTGTTAAAAGCTAAGCATATGGATGCATGTTTGTGTACCAGAGCACAGGGGTATTGGCAGTGAACAAAGTAAACTAAACATTTACTTTTCATAACCAGAACATGTTTGTATTTTCATGTATTCAAGTATTAGGGCTCTGTTTGTTTGGAGCTTTAAATGTTTCCATTTCAAAGAATGCTTTTGTAAAGGCCTGGGCTCCTTCCAGCTGGTCTTTTAACAGATTTTCTCACTTGTATCTCTTCTTGTCTTAAAAGAAAAAGGGGAAAAAACCCCCAAATAGCTGTGATTTTAGGTGAAAGAACTGTCTGAATTCAATACGTCCCTACTTAGTGCTTTTAAGCAGTAGTGGTTTTCTTTACCCATCTAATATTCAGCTGTTTTCAAAAAATGATTGGATAGTACTTAAAACAAGATGGAACACAACTTTGTAATTACACATGACTTGTTAGTAATGTCAATTTTTAAAAGACAATGGGCTGTCTGTGATTGGCTCCACGTAGTCTTCAGACCATTAAAGGGAAAACAACAAAGTGACTTAAAAGTTGTACTGAATGAACAGACAGACTTCTGGAATTCTGTAAGGGGGTAGGGGGAAATTAAGGCTAATGATCATATTAATCCATAGTAGTAAAAGCTGTATTTTAATACCATATGATTTATGAATTTTTTTATGTGTAAAATGCTTTGATGTGTATTTAGCCTGGTGAGTATACATTCTCAAATAATTTTTTTCTTTTCCACCAGGGAAGTCGAGACAACATGAGTGTGATATTGATCTGTTTTCCGAATGCACCAAAGGTATCACCAGAGGCGGTGAAAAGAGAGGCAGAGTTGGACAAGTACCTGGAAAGCAGAGTAGAAGGTGGATCATTTAAAAAAAAATAAGTAACTTTGTTTCTAAGCAGACCCCCTGGCCCCTTCCCCTTCCAACATCTAAACTCTTAACACATACAGGCTTTTTAATAGACTTTTTTTCAAGTGCCATTGGCCATCTAGTGTACATCTCTGAAAAAGGCACTCATAGTCTCACTGTATGTCCTGAAAAAAATTTACTATGAAAGTCCAGCAGCCTGTAGCCCTGAAAATTATTCAGGATGGCAGAGAAATAATTCATTTGTGCTCAGTGTTTTTCATGAGTCTTTGACAGGGCTGTTTCCGACCAGTAAATCCTGGTTCCTGTTACGTGGGGTTAAATTAAATAACCAGAATATCTTATGAAGTGTCTGTGAAGATGGTAATTTGAGTGCCATTTTTACATATAGTTATGTACAAATTAGTTAGCCATGATATTATCCAATTATGGTAGGGTTACAGCTTGATTACTGTTATCTTTAAGGCACCTGCTAACATATTTACTTATTTGGAAGTACATCAAAAATTTATGAAAGCTAATCTTTAAGCATTCTTGATGAACAAAAGCTGGGAGCTCATCTTACTCTGATTAATAACTTCAAAATTTTGCTTTAAATTTGTATTTTGTGAGTTCTTAAACTTCAAACAGAAACTGCAAGTCTGATGCATTTCAGGTCACTTAACTAAAAATGATATTTGAAATCAATTTGATTTAAATGGTTTCTCATTAAAACTCGATTTCTAGTGCCTTTTAGTATTTAAAAATGACCACAGCTTGGAGATTGTTTCTGAAACATAAGACATGCTGTATGCATTATTTGCATAGGTTGAGTCTATTTTTGAAGTGGACTCTTCGAGACCTCTATGTCACAAATCTAGTTATGTGTATAAATTCCGAGAATCCATGATAGCACACAGGGCACAATACACAGAGTTCTTCAAAACAATGGTATCAGTGATTAGTAAGTTAGAGGAATATTGTGCACTTTTTTCCTCTTTAGCTTGCATGAAGATAACACAGTACAGCTTCAGAAATTTCACAAAGAACTTGCCTACGTGGGAATTCTGGGTTCAGACAAATTAATGTGTGATTTTAAAGCACTTACTACCTGTGTACGTGCTCCTTCAGAAAGTACCACCTTTTTCAAAGGCCTCATTTGCAAGGTCTTGGCAAACTGCATCTGTTCTGCTCCTGACCAAATGTCCAGACAGACATTTCTGTTTTAATCTAACACTTACCTAATAGAAGTTGGTGCACAGTAAGCAATAGTGTGAATCTTTTTGACAGCGTAGCAGGAATATCCAAGTGCAGGGTAACACTGCATGAGTTAGGTGTCAGATGGCTTTCTCCATTTCAAAGCAGTGAGTTTTGCATCAGGCATTTGAAGACCTTACTATGTGTGCCCACTCACAGAACTGGTGAAGAGCAAGTATGCTGTAAATTCACACATTCATTTACAGCATGCTAACTCTCCTAATTTAGGCAAGTATTACCTTCATATCTTATTTTGTCTGAGTTCAGACAACCCATGACCTAGAATATGAAAATATGTTCAAGTTAAGGTTGCATCTTCAGCTGGCCTCATTGTACCCCAGGAATATTACTACGAGGAAAACTGACATTTTTGTACAGACATTTCATTTTGTAAAGGAAGAACCTAGGTACTGGAACTGCATGTGATTATGGTACATACAATGAATTTGTCTGACAGTACTCCACATTTATGCAAACACAAAATTTTAGGAATGAGCAAAGTGTGATACTTGCATAGAGGCAGGAGGATTCTGTATGTAGTTATAAAGCACTTTAATACTAATTTAATGGGATTATATCTGAACAACTTGAGGAAATACATTGTACTTCCTCTCAAGGGTCTTCTTTTTTCAGAGTTGTCCTCAATTTTTTGTCTATTGTTGCACAGATATTATTTAAATTAATGAATATGTAGTAAACACTATTCAACCCAGCAGTGATTTGTATCAGCTGTGTGCAGAATTTGGCCTTTTAGGTCTTCCTCATGAGGGAAGTTGAGAGGCAGAACTTCAAGAACAGGAGTTGATTGACTTCATTACATTTAACTTAGTAATTCTTGTGCAGTTAATAATTTTTGTTGCCTGGTGTAAATAGATAATGCAGTTTTGGCTAGTAAGATACGACTGCTACAGCATCTGAAACTTCCAACACTACAGTGACATTATCCTAGGATACTTGAAGAATGGCAGTGCTTAACTCTAAAAGCCTAATCTTCAGCTGAAGGGACTAGAAAATGTAGAGGACTTTTAGAATGGTTTTACTAATCTGTAATATAAATTTATAATTAAAATTCATTTAAATGGAAGCTTGGTGGAAATGCACATTATGTATTTTTATGCACTTCAGTACTCAGTCCAACAACTAATGAGATTTGATGCTCACTAAAGTGCGTTTTTTTTTCTGGTTGTACTTTTATTCCCTCAGCTCAGAATGTGTCTTTACTGTGAAGACGTAGTGCAGATTTTAAAACCAAGTAGGGCTTAGTACTGGTGGTCATCTTGAATAAGGAGAGGCAATTCAGATTTTAAAAAACATGAAAAGTTTCCTACTTACCATGCTACTTAGGACTCTCCTTTTACTAGTTTTGGTGTGGTTGTGGTTCAGATTCATAGCTACAATAACTAATAACAGAAGAAGAAGCAAGTGTGGAGAAGCATTTTTGTGCCATTACTTGCAATAAACCAGCATTACTCCTAAAATATCATGTGAACTTCATGGTAGAAGTAATCAGTCATTCCAAAATGTGTTGCTATTATTTGCACTAATATGTTTTATTGATGTGTTAACTCTAAAAAAAACTAAGGTTTTTTTGTTCTCATTTTTTTACATAAAAGCGTTCCGTAATAGATAATCCTTGCAATATTTATACCTATATAGAGATAAATAATTTTAAGTCAGCTATTATATGTTCCTTTTCATATTTTCACTAAAATCATAGCTCTGGCTTTTTCTTAAACTTCGTGTGGAATTGCCATTCAGAATATGAAAAAGCAGATATGTTTTGAATCCTTTATTTTAGGCTTGTAAGTACATTTTTCCAGTACTTGATGCCATGAAAATGTGTAGAAAGTAAATTAAAGGTTGGGGGGAGGGTTGCAAGATGTATTGGAAGAAGATAATTCCAATAAATTACACAGCTAGCAGACCGACTCCATTTGTTGTGTCTTCAGTGTTCATTCAGTCTGTATCTATAGTTTTATCAAAATATAAATGTATTCATTTAGTGGAGACTGTATGTTAAATGTACTGCAGTTACAGGTTGTGAAACTGTGTAGTATAGGTAAACTATAAATTCCTTATTTTTGTACAGCAGAACTTTAGCACTAGCGCAATGTAGAGTATACTAGATGTTCAAAATTGCACAATAAAGGAACTTGGCAAACCAAATCTGAGATCTTGGCTTCTTATTCAGATTTAAGAGTGCTAGATTATTTATTTACTGAATACTAGATGGTAAAATGAATTTTGGCTATAGATCTTGAGGAAATGGCAAGTTTTGGAGGTGTCTGTGGTGTGTGATGTCTTGTATTTAAAATGTAGGTTTTGAAGTAAACAGCTTAAAGCTTTGTGTTGCAGAGTTTGATGCTGGTTGAGGGCTTAGACAGTGTTTCCACTGTACCTTGCAAATAATTTACACAGCCTGACTGCAAAATAGAGCTGATGCTTTTTGTAAACATGCAGCCCTGAAAAACTGTTACGGGCATAAAAAGTGATTCACAATTGTTGTATTTCATTTTTTTTTTAACTAAAAAGGACTGGATACGTGGTGGTTTTAAAAGCTTTTGATGTGCCTTATCTCGCTAATTAAATTATGAAATGGAAACTTGGTATGTTCTTCTGGAATTATCATTTAGGGCAAGAACTGAATGCTAGAGGATTTTTCAGAAGTGGTACTGTGAATTCCAACTACTCTTCAAGAAGAATAGTGTGTGTACATACAGGCATTATATATATGCACATATGTACACAGTATTGTATGTGTGCTGCAGTATTCACTTGAAGATCAACAGCACCAAGTCTTAATTCATATCTCTCAATTCTAAGAGCTCATATTTACAGAGAAACTGATGAGATACATTTTTTTAAATGTGCTTATTCTTTAAATTTCATAAAATCCCTATTTAAAAAGTGAGTCTTCAGGGGTGATATGGTCTGAAATCTTTTGAGTTCAAATAAAATTGTGTGCTTTACGTCTGGAAAAAAAAAATAGGCCTAGGAATAAAGCTAAAGAATTAATTTCTTAGCCAACATGACTGTGGCTACAGTACAGATTCTCTTCACCCAGAAGCTGGAGTGGATCAGCTTTAAAAAACTGCCCAATATTCACCTATCCCCTACGTGAGTTGAGGATGGAACTGTTTCTTAGATCTGATGTCCCTGGCTTTTCATTTATATTTAATGGTTCTTAAAATTTACATGTTACTGTAATGCAGTGAGTTACAAGTATTGACCAATACACATACAGCCATGTGAGTTATTTTTAGTATGTCTTAACCTTTTGTTTCTTGAAAAATATGTTTTCTATGATGTCAATAATCTTTCATCTTCTGTTGCAGCGATAAAGCTGATGTTAATGTCTGTCTCATGCCCAGGGCATTTTCTTGGGAAGATATTACATCTTCTGTTATATCTAATGTGTAGCAGGAAAGCCATTGAAGAATTTTGTCCCACTTCTGTTAGGTAGCTGTGTATTTCTAAAACCAGTGTGCATGTGAACAGTTAGCAGTATATCTTTGTCAAATCTGTTACAAGTTCTTTTTCTTGTGGAACCAAAGTTAACAATTCCCATGTTGAATATGGTCTGTCATCTTTTTTTATTATTATTATTATTATATTAACAGAAGTTAAGCTGCCTTTTTATAAAACTGAGTGTTTCAATCTTTTTAAGTTAAATTTGGACTGCACTTACAAAAAAAGTACTTCTGATTCCCAGAGATCATAAAGAAGCAGGGTGAAGGAGTCCCAGACTTAGTCCACGTGATGCGTACATTAGCAACTGAGAGCATCCCAAACCTCCCGCCGGGGGGTGAATTGGCAAGCAAGTGAGTTCACATCGGTGTAAATGTGTTTTTTGGTTTAAATCAAAACTTAACTGTAAGGCCACTCTTAAAAGTGGGGGGAAGGAAGAAGGGTACAGGACAAAAGGTGGTGATCTGTTCTCCAATTTTTATTACTCACTTGTTCTGAATGAAAAGGACAAGCATAAGAACAGTTAACTGTGAATCACTGCTAAAATTAAATGTCAAACTGTGGTTTTGGGAAGGACTGAGGGTTTTTTAAGGGTGGCCTGAGTGTGTCTGTTTTTTGTAATTAACTGGGTTTTCTGGGTGGGAGGTTATATTTGAAGATGCAAAAATAATGCACCGACTTTGGTCGTTACATGGAGATGTAGTTCTACACTTTGACAAGAAGCGATATGCATGTGGTGTTTTGCTTGGCAGCTTTCTTTTCTTGTCTGTCGCTAAAGCGATGTAATTGCTTAAAAGTTTGCTTTTGTATCTCTCTGCTCGTGACAAATCTGAAAAGTAGAAGTCTCTCAGAAAAGTGGGAAGTTAAATGTACAGCTTTATATAGGCTGGCTTTGCCCTTGAGGAGTTCAGTGTTGATGCACTGTGGCTTCTCAAATTGATGTTCGGTCTTTAAGGAAGTAATGTGCTTAGCTCGTTTGCACACCAAACCAAGTGCTTTTTGGTTCTAAAGATTGTTCATGAACCTGTGTTGGGTTAAAATTGAAATGGCTTGGGCACATCTGGTACGGACTATATTTTTAACCCTTCAGAGTACAGTTTTTTGTATTGTTGCACCAAAGCGTGAAGACTCTAGGTGTGTAATTGAATAAATTATAATTGAACTGTAAAGATGACTTCTACAAAATGAAATTGTTCTTATCTGAACTGTTTGACTAGGAAAAGAAGAGATGGCAATTTTATATATAATAGCAGCATCTATTTAGGATGTGTTGCTGTAGTCTTGAAGTATCAATGAGTCAGTTACTCATTAAATGTGGCATACAAATTGACTTTTCTCAATCTCCTTTGGCTAGTGGTACCATCATGGTTGTAAGAAAGTGCTGAAGTGGCTGACTTCTGTGGGATTTTGTGTCTTAGTCATGCTAGTTTGAATAAGAATTGATAGAAGTATGGATTTAATTGAATGTTAGCATAACTCAAAGCACTGCTGCCAGTTTGGAAGGGAAATAATGCTTTTCAAGAAACCTGCTGTTATTTAGAATCAAAGATATAACTTATTTCTTGAAAGATAAGGGAAACTTTCCAGTTCATATGTGCAATGTACTTTGTGTGTAATTGCTTGGTTTTATTGCTTTAAATTCAGCCTCTTCTTCCTTGCCCTGTAATCATTCACTAGATCCACTATGATGTTTATACTGCCGCATGGTGGTTCCTGACTTTTCAGTGTTACGGGATGATTATAAAGCCTATCATCTGCTTTTTTTTTTCTTCTGATGCACTCCTTTGTGATTGCTCTGCATGCCTTCATGAGCAGTTAAAAGGTGGTTCTTTGAAGTTTGTTTTGTATCACAGTTGTAGTCTGCTACTTTGTCATACGTGGTTCTGCAGAAGGGGATCTGGAAGAAAGTTGCTTTTAAAGTACCGTCTATAATTCCTGTCTTCTGCTGCCCTCTTTCCTTCTTGCTCCCCCTCCAAAGTTGTTTCCTTATCTGCTGGGTAAGGCAAAGGCTTTCTTTCCCTTCAGCCTCACATTTTTTTTTTCTATATCAGTTTTCAAGAAAACATCTTCGCTATGTAAAAAAAAAAAAAAAAAAACCAAAAAACAAAAACACCCAACCCAGACCCCAAAATAAACAAAAAACCCCAAAGCAACTCCAAAAACCAACACCACAACCAAAAAAAAACAAAACCATGTTGCTCATTTACACATTGTTTGCAGTTTTCCTATTACTAGGCTATCTTAAAGATGCTAAACAAAGAGGAAACTGTCAAGATGCTTGAGTTAATTTTTTAATATTTTTTACCAGACAAAATTCTTCTCATTCTCAAGATACAATATGTAGAACTACTATTCGCAGCTTAAATTTTTTTGAAAAAAGTTGCAGGACAGTATTGCACACATTGTTGTGAAAGAGTATTGCTTCAGAAATAATTTTTCCAGGTTTGCACATTGAAAGTACATTTCTGGATGCAACATGAACAAAAATGTACTTCAGGATGCAATTTTTGTTTGTCCAGATAATTGAAAAAACACTACTCCTCTGTGAAAGTGCCATAGTACGTGAAGTACTACATGAAGCGTTCATCAGACACACAATTGACCAGGGCATTCAACATCCATCAAGTTTTCTGATGCCCTTTTTGGAAGTCTAGAGACGTAGCACCAAGCAGCATCGCAGCCTCGTCTGAGTGTCAGATTGTGCGCTTCTCCTGCTGA